TTTTGGAATAACGTAGATAAACACACCGGCAATATTGTGCTATGGGTCTACGCTTCTTTCCTTGATACAGTATAATGCTTTGCATATCATGCCATCAAAAAGGTAGTTTGAACCTACCAGTTGCAGTTACATATGATTGTTTAATTAAAATAAATTGTTTAAAAAAAATTGTAAAGAGAAGAAAAATAGTTTTAAAAAAATAGACTGCAGAAACTAATTATGCATTTGCTTTAAGAGGATTTGTTTGATGGAATTTTGCTATTAGGCAAGCAATGTTTATATGCTGATTTTTTTAAAAGAAACAATTTTAAATTTCCATACTTAATGATATATAATTTAACAATTATATAAATGGAAAAATATCCATAACTAGCTGAGACCTCTTTAAAAGTATTCAGGGCAATGGAATGCTATATCAAAATAGAATGACCAGCCTTGTATAACTAACTGATTTTCAAAACACAATATATTTGCAGTTCAAAACACTTTTTGCAGTAACAATGCTAAATATTCCTCATAGTCCATTCTTCATTCATTTATGCAGAAATCTTCATGCACATATTGCTTTAATTAGTCTAAAGGTCAGCCCCAATTCTGCTCCTATGAAATGCAAGATATTCATCATTTCTTAATATCAAGACCAAGTAATTGTGCTGGTGAAAAATACTACTTGCACATAAAATCTGACATAACAGCCTGGAAAGGTGGTCAGCTTTGAAATACCAAGCAGTCTGAGTGTTACAAGTGTACAAGTTCCAAACATAAGCATATTGAAAAGACAAGTTCCAAGACAAGCACATTGAGTAAAAGCAATGGAGGGCAAAGAGATGATATTTCATCCATGTACTGTAAAGTTTTCTGAATCCCTTCTCCTCTCCTCTCCTCTCCTCTCCTCTCCTCTCCTCTCCTCTCCTCTCCTCTCCTCTCCTCTCCTCTCCTCTCCTCTCCTCTCCTCTCCTCTCTTCTCCTCTCCTCTCCAGCATTAAATTCCCTTTTTACAGATTTATTTATTTTCATTTCCAAATGGAGAAAATGAGAACTTTGAGATTGAATTAATAAATGTTTCCTGTTTTGTTTACTGTTAACTTATAGGGAAATGCATGATTTGGAAATAATCTCAGATATCACTGCATTCAGTATCTCAAACAAAAAAAAACAGGATCTTATTAACTCACAAGGGTCTCAGAAATTAGTCAGTACAGTGCTGAATTTATGTCCCCAGGATTAGCCCTTGTCTCACAGTAAGATTTTTCTAAATATCCTCTGTCCTGCTAAGTGTTCTCATGGAAAAGTCATTTTCACCACTCCTGCAAGGTACCAAGGCACAGTTTTGTGAAGATACTACTCCTACTTTGCAGTAGAAAAAGCCTGCTCATCAAAGCTACTCCTTTCAGATCCGAAGAGTACCAAGTAACATTTGGTACTCAATAAATAATTAAATTTCTGCATATCAGTGTGAGGTTGCATTTGAAGTACTGAACTGAAGTGCTGGACATCTCCATGTCTTACACAACAAACTTGCTTGGCATTGCATTCAAAAACCAAAGATATCCTAAGATATATTTTATTTAGTTTAACTTCTTAGTTTTTACTGGAAAAAAAAAAAAAAAAATTGAGAGAGAGAAAAAAAATCTTATGCCTAAGGGTAAAAGCCAGTTTCTAATTGCTGGGATTTATTTTCAGATATCATATTACCTGAAAACCTACTTTTTGCTATTGGAACTGCTTGTCTTTTGGGTAATCTTTCTCAGTCAGTGTAGTGTAGATATTTTACTACCACTCACATTTACAGAGACTAGAGTACTTTTTCAATGATTTGGTTAAGTCTTTGACAAAACTATACAGAAATTTAAGATATGGCACTTTTCTCAGGTCTGGTCCACCAACGTCCTCTAATTAACTTACGTACCACCTTATGAAATTGATCCTTTCCAAGACCCTTTCAAAGGATATGAGTGTGGAGGTGACGTAACCACATCTGGGTTTCAGCCTAAAGTCACTTCAGAATCACCAGGATGCCAGCACCAAGCTCTACAGTGAAGACATACTCTAAAAATTTCCATATCTGAAAAGTATCAGCACTTGTTTGTAGTGGAGCCCACAACTTCAGTGGAGGTGAAATGAAAAGCAAGGATTTACAAATGAAGAAATGTAAAACTGATGTCTAAAGTATTGTAATGGATTATTATTGGTGTCATTAAGAGCGATTCTGTTCTTATTCCTCGATAGAATCTATTAATTTGGTCTATGAAAAGTCCTTTCATAGAAGTTGGAGGCAGCAAGGAAAAGATGCAATAATCCCTGAAATCTAAGCAGTTGTGTTGGTGTTTTCTTCTAGTATAGGGAAATCCCAGCACAGACATGATTTCTCCCAGCCCAAGAATGAAACAGCCTGCAGATCCTTACCCAGATGCTAAAATAATAAATGAATACAAAAACAAAGTCTGAAAAATAAACTCAGAACTTTTCAAAGCCTTCAACAGAATTTCGTTACACTGGCTCTTACATTACATTTGTTCTTTAGTCACACTGTGTCCTGATGCATAGTTTTCTCTCTTTTTTCCAACCAGTACACAGTCACAGAACTGATTCTAAGGAAAGAAATCTGTTTATGTCTCCTCCATTATCCAGGTGAAATGCAAAATTATTATAATCTTAACTTTTTTTAATGGTAAATGAAAATAAAAGTTTAAGGGTTGCTTGGGTTTTGTTGTTGTTGTTAGCTTGTTTTTAATATTTTCTTTGCATATTAAATAATTTATAGCTATCCTCTGTTTTAACATCAAAGAGGGAAAAGTATCTTGACTTTTTTGAAATACAAGACATTCTGAGGTAAATCATAACCTTTACATATTCTGAATCTTGAAAACCTTTTTTTATGCTGAACCCTTCGCCTTTCCAGTCTGATTACACTAAGAACCTTTCACAGGTTAAATGCATGTTCCACAGTTGGAGGGTTTATTAAAGCATGTTACTTTTGTCATAATTACGTGGATGTTTAGCACTGAATGAATGGCCATGGAGTAGTTACTACTAGGGCAGTCTAAGAGTAGTTCTGATGGTTCTTTTGCTCTTGAGTGGATGGCAAAACTTGAGAGATTCATAGCAATCTCTCTGAGATCCGTTCTGCTGACTTGCAGGGCAATGAAATATATAGTGATGGCTAGGGAATGGAGCATTTTCTTTATCTGTGTCACAAGCATCCTAACCAAAGGTTCTTCAGAACAAAGTTGCCAAGGAAACTTCACCTCTTTCTTTTCTTCTGATGGCTACTTTTTGGAATTCAACTTATCATGAGCATTTAGGATCTCCAAATTCCTTCTCTTAGACTTTTTCTTCTTCTGTTTCTTGGGTACAAAGTGCCTCTTCTGGTTATCAGGTCTAAAAGTAACTGTTTTCTCTCTAAACTCTACATTCTTTGACATCTAACACCTCCATACCAACTTTATCTCATTTTCTTTTCTGTGAAATTTCCACACATTCTTCTTTCTTTTCTCCTTTTCTCTTGCTGCCCCAAATAAATTTGTATGATCCAGTTTGATTTCTTTTGTATTTTTCAGAGAATTTATCTACTCTGTAAGCCCTTCTGCTTTTTCCTCTGCCCTAGGAATCGACTTTCATTTAATACACATTTGTCCTGCGTGAGCTTCATGCCTGTTTGGGAACATGGCACATACTGCCCTGTGGATTGACTTTAAACCTTTGGTAGCCAGTCTGCAAAGCTCCAGTTGTTCCTTCTTTCAGTAAGGCTATAATTTGTAAATGAAAAGACTCCTCTGCACTGAGCACATCTCATTTTACTGTCTCCAATTCACTCTCAGGTTCACTAAGCTTCTTCCTCAGTTATTTATACAATCTGCACTACCTCTGAAGATCTACTATAACTGCATCCACCTTTGTGTTCACTCAAATTATTTCTCTTTTACAGAATTGTTGTCTTAGAGATATATTTTTTCTCTCTAGTTCAGGTTAAAGGACAAGCAATAAACAATCCATTTAGTCTGTCATGCAGTGTTAAAATTAACAGACTTCTCCTTCAGAATTTTCTTAGATACCAGTGATGTAACTTAGAGTAGATAGGAATGGACTATCACAAGCAAGCATTTGATAAATGATCTGCTGCACGCATTTTGCACAAATTTTATTCAAGCATTTGAATAGATATTTCAACACACAGCACAGGAATTTGCACAATTAGGGCATAAGTCGTCACTGGGAAGAGAGCCAGTATAAGATCTCTGCAAAGCCCACATCCCATGTAGGTGTTCAGAGCTGACCAAGTCTTATCCTAGTATCCTGTCAGGGGATTAGTTAAATCCTCAAGGAATAAACTGTTTATCCAAGTAATTTTTTATCCAATTTCCAGGTATGGTATTTAAGATGCTCACAGTACTGCACTGGGCTCTAGCGTTGGGATTGCTTCCACTTGACTTCATGTCTACGCCCCCGCCAGTCATTTTTATTGCGAATGGAAAGAAAAAGGCCCTTTCAATACATAAACAGTGAACCCAACCAAATTTTACCCAAGTGGTCAACAATGTTGGTGCTTGCTTTGTCAAGCTGAGGAACAAGTCAAGTATTACAGATGTGGAGTGTCAGAGAAAGAGATGAAGTTAGGATTGAGAAGATGGCCACCAGTTGGTTTCTCACTGCTCCTTAATTATAGTGTTGTTTGGCTTAAACTGTTTGGCCTTCACATTTTGGTCTTACTCCCCAAATCGCTAAAGGTTACTGTGTTATTCTATAGAATTTTTTAGCTCAACCTACATGTATATATATGAATAAATGGTGAGCACCTCTCCTGCATAGCACTGTTTGCTTGAGCATAGTCCTGCGGTTTTACGCCACTACTCCACTGCTCCCACAGCTGCTTTGCACTGTACCCCACCGCTGCCACAGTAACTTTCATGTGCATGGCCCTTTGCACAGCAGCTGTCAGAGAAAGCTGAGCACACAATCACTTCTTTCTGTTTGCTCCTGTTGTTGTCGTGATTTATTAGGTACAAAGGCAGGAGACTGGCCCCGCACAAGTCGGAAATAGAGTGTTTCACCCCAAAAGGGAGTATGGGGAATGGTGGGAGAGCTACAATGACCAGGTAAGCTAACAGCAAGTGGCCTTAGGTCAGTGTGATATGTTTGTGAACAAGGGGAGCAGCCCTGGGACAGTGCCAGCCCAGATCCTCTCTGTAATTCCTGTGCATCCCATATAGTATGTCTAGAAAAAATATACATCTCTAAAATAAAACACATGGCCACTGCTGATTTCTGTGTTTCATCTAACTGGAAGAAAAAAAAAAAAAAAAAAAAAAAAAAAAACAGAAAACCTGCACTGTGTTCATTTGAGTGATGCAAACCACATGTCCTGTGTGATGTTGTCATAATATGGTGCTTTGGGAAGGAGAAACTTTACACCTGACATTAACCCAGTAGGGCAGGGAAAGAGAGACAGCGCTTAAACACTGAGTGAGAAGCTCCATAGCTCCTTGGGAATAGAGGCTGCATTTTGTGTCTAATCAAAAGACTGCATAAAAATAGAAAAAAAAAAAAAAAAAAAAAAAAAAAAGATAAATGAAAGCATTCTAATATGAAAACGTTGGTTCTTCTCAGTCAAAATGTCTTGTAGGAAAGTGTTAAGTTTCACAGTGGTTTTAAGGAAAGGTTTCAAAATCATTTTAAATAGAGCTCAGAACATCTTTTAGAACTTTCTCCATTGCATCTAATTTGGATATTTCTTTTTGTTTCAGACATTATATAATGCACAACATTATGTATCAATGTTATGATTTTAATTAGTATTATGAACGATATTTTTAACTGTTCCTGGGATTAACTGTCTTAATAAGGACACTTTTTAAGGTTTTTGCAATGAAATATTTCAAACGGTTCACTTTAATTCTGTGAAATGTTTGAATATTTGAATTGTTCATCTCATGTTGAACCCAATCAGATTTCCAAATGCTGGATTCTCCCATAGGACAGAAAATCCTATGTACCACAGTTGATTAAAAATCTAAGGGTATAATTACTCTTAAAAAGCATTTTACGACTGTGTTGCACTCTACAGCAAGTTAGAAACATTTGCTTTACTATTTATTAAAAGATCCTTATCATCCCCTGTAAGATTTTTGTAAATGCATCCATAGAGCACAACAAGACCAAATTACACCTTTATTTTCCCCGAGTGTTGCATCACAGGTGGATTTTATCACTGCAGGAGGGTGTTCAGTGAAATACTCGCACCGTGTTATGTCCCCTTTGGGTACTGAAATCCACTCATCTACACAAGGCTCTCAGCTATAATGCTGCTGAGCACACACCTGGGGGACTGTGCCACTTAGGTAACATCAGGAATGCTTGCTGCTGAGTGGTGCACCAAATGTATACACACCTGTTACTTCTTTGTCAGCCGGGATTCTGTTTCTTGTCTGTGTGATGTCCAAATTTTTATCTTTTTCCTATATTCCATTGCATTTGGTGATAATTATTCTTCCTTTTCAAGCTATCTGGAGTTGCTATATAAGAGAATTATGAAGAGCAGAAACGTACATGTAAATGTTAAACAGCTGTATGTCGTTGTACAGTATTCAGCTCTGTTTGCCCAGCCATATATATACACTTGAAAAACTTCTTTTTTATATTTTGTATCTTCACAGTGAAGAATCTGTTTGCATTCCAGAATGTAATCGATCTGAGTCAAGTAGAGATGAGAAAGAGGTTCCTGTTAAAGAGGATGCCCTAACAGGCAAAAAGACTGGAAACTGTGTCAGTCTAATAGTGCCACAGCAAGACTGTCAGCTGCAAGACCTACTCAAACAGTTAAGAACACCAGCTGCTTCACAGAGAGTGCAATTGCATTTGATGGCTGTGTCTTGTTGTCTCCAGCCACAGTGTCCTGGCCAGTGGTCTTGTCCTATTTTGTGAGCTAAGCAGATTTGTCACTGCATAGCCTGGGAGCTTCCCAGGAAGCAGAGATGTTGCAGGAAGGGAAGTAGGTGCCATTTTTCTGTCTGTGTCTGTAAGTACCAGGCCAGTGCTGGGCGTCACTGTGATGAAGTGCTGATGGGAAAAGACAGATTCAGCCACCTGACCACCTATTTGAATTCCCTTCTGACCCAACCCATTCCGTGATATGGAAAATGAAAAGATTGTGTCATCTTTTCTCCCTTGTACTGTAAAGCTAATAAAGAAGTCCCATGATGCTGAGCAAATCCCAGTTACATCCTTTTAGCCTAAAGAGGGCTGTACAGCTTCAACTGGATAGGATTTTTCAGCTCATGTGCTCAATTCCCAATGTAATATTATTTTGACGTTCCAACCTTAGTGTGGATAAATAAAATATAGTGTGGATAAATAAAATATTTTCACGTTGCGGTCTAATGATCCCTATATAGATGTCTTACAAATAGCTAGGAATTTAAGATGAAAAGTAACAAAACACAATTAATGGGTACCCAGCGTGATGCTTTGAAAAGCAGTTTCTGATTAAGAAAAGTTACTGCATTCTACATCACTGTTTTTTCCCACTTCAGTTTTAGGAGATTGTCACAGAATCCCAGAAGTATTTCCTTCAGATACCAACACTTCAATTTCCCCCATTGTATCCAGGCACTGCTGAAAGCTCTCAGTGTTGGTGTCACTGGTGGCCGTGCTAGGAGGTTGTTGGCAAAGTTTCTGTCTGTCAGCAGTCCCTTTCATCCTCATAGATTAAAGTCATTCTTGCAAATGCCAGCTGTGATTTCCATAGGGTAAGGAGGTGATGACTGATTACACTCCAGGGAGTAATATTAGTAAATGCCCTTGCTGTTGTTAATAGAAAAGCAATTGCTTTTGTTTGCAATGTAACTGCAAAAGATGTTTACTTATGGAACTCAGATCAGGACAAAATGAGTTTTTACCCTGAATCATTCCTCCTTTGTGTTTTACTGTTATTTATCTCCAGAGAACAAATAGTATGGGAATAACTTAAGCTAAATGATCCAAGTAATATTTCTGCATGGCAAAACCGTCTTACACCCAGGGAAACAATTGTATAGGCATGTAGAGATTTCCTCTAAAGCTATTTATAATAAAAAAGGAAACACTATAAACCGCTATTGTGTTAGAACAGAACTAGTTTATCTACCTTACGTTTCTGCACTCAGTTTCAGCCATTTATCCTCCTTTCTTTGGGAGTTGGACTAGATGCCCTTTAAAGGTCCTTCCAACTAAAACCACTCTGGCTCAAGGACAGGTTGGATGGGCCCCGGGCAGCCTGAGCTGGTGGGCAGCAATCAGCCTATGGCAGGGGCTTTAAGATCCCTTCCCATCCAAACCATTCTAAGATTTCAGTAAATCCTTCTTAGACAGAGTAATTGTATCATTGAGTCCTTAATAAGGTTTCATCAGAGAACTCGAGAAGGACTATGGCTTCTTCTTACTGCAAGTATTTATTTCCAATAACAAGACTTCTCCTTGCCAGAAAGCTGCACGGACTAAGTACAGTAGTTTATCGTCCTTATCTCTGCCAGATGCTTCTGCAGAAAAGGAATAGAATAATGTAGTCCTTAATAAACCATCTTGCTCTGCACCATGTTGAAGTTATACCTTTTCTACCTCAGCTTCATAAAAAACAAGACATTGCTTCAAGTTGGAATGCAACACATTACTTAAGCCATTGAAATATCTAAGCACATCTTTGCTAGCAAATTTAGCTCAAAAAATTAGACCAATGAATGTTCTGAAACATGAACTTTCACCTTTGGACTTATCAGGAAAATAATTTTAACTAATTATTTATCATATTCATGTCAGCATAGGTTCCATTCTGGTCGTACAGGTCTCCACAGAGTTTTTGACCAGTATCTTTTGACGAGCTGCACCTATTCAAATCTGGAATCAGATACTAACATTTCTTATACAACAGAGAATAAATTTTCCCTTATATTTTTGTTTTAAACTCTGTTGACCCCCTTTGTATTCTAGTTTCCACTGATGGAAAATCTGTAGATATGCTTTCTAAGCTCACTCAGACCATACTAAATTCCATAACTGATTTGGCTATTTCATTTAAACTTATTTAAAAGAGAATAAGTGACTTATTTTCAAATTAAATACTGTTTCAGTAGTTATCCAAATGCCAGTTACTGGGAACTCTTAATCAGAATTAATCTTAACAGCTTCATGTAATTAATAAGAATGGCAGACTTATTAGAATATCAGGTTTTTCAGCTGCTGTGACTTTCAGTTCCTCCTTCTGATTCCCATCCCTGGAGGCATTCAAGGCCAGGCTGGACGTGGCTCTGCGCAGCCTGGTCTGGTGGTTGGCGACCCTGCACATAGCAGGGGGGTTGAAACTAGATGGTCATTGTGGTCCTTTTCAACCCAGGCCATTCTGTGATTCTATGATCCCTTTCTTCTGCATTTTGCAGGGGTTAAAAAATGCAGTTGCTGTAATGGCAGCTGGCTAAAGAAACCCTGGTGGCAGAGCTGTGCACAGTCTCACAATCACATCACAAGGCAATAAATCTGAAACAAAATTTAAAAACAAAGGAAAAAAGCAATCTATTCCAGATGGATAGGAAAATAAGAAGAAAAGAAAATAAACAAATATATAAGAGAGGAACATTTTTCTTATCACCTCAGGGGATAAGAAGCAGTTAATATCCCTTATGAATACACAACAGAGCCCTAAAACATAAATGACTATGAAAGGAAGGGAGGAAATGAGGAAGAGTACTAATTGTTATTCAGTCAGCAGTGTACAACTACAGAGGAAATATTTGGAATATTTGAAAGCTCTCATTTATACCACTTTCTTCTACGTGCTATACTGTGGTAGGTCTAGCAAGCTGGAAAAAAAAGCTTAGCTACCAAAATCAAAGCAGCTTTTAGTCAAGAGACAGGAAAAATAATGACTATGTCTAGTTCTGAGGAAATCCCTCTTTTACATAAAACAGCCTAATTAACCCATCGTGAAGGCAATGAAAAAATACACCACACAAAAGATATTACTATATATATATATACATATAGATCTATATATATATCTATATATCTATATATTATATATATATATAATATATCTATCTATCTATCTATCTATATATATATATTTATATATATATATATATAGCCAACATTTTGGTTTGGAAATTGTATCACTAATTGGAGTTTGCTTATCCCCAGATTTGACCTGACCTCTGCTCTGCTCCAGGGTTGTGCCAACAGGAAGGACAGAGCAGAGAAATACATCCTGTATTCAGCCAAACTTAGCAGTGGAATTCTTTTGTGAGCATGAGAGTGTAATTCTGCTGTTTTCAGCTGAGGGAGATAAAATCTGTTTACAAGAAAACTCTATTTACTGATATATAATTTCCCATCTCTCAAAGGGACATGGAACAGCTGGTCATAATAAATGTAAACACTTTGTTGTGATATTCCATTAGCAGACATCAAAGTCTATGTCCCTAATGTACCTTTATACCTCTGTTTTTAATTTTTGTGCGTTGCAGTGGTTTTCAGTTGAGAGAGTAACAGCATGCAGCTAAAGCAGGATCTCAAAGTACTGCCCCTGAAATTTACCTCTAACCCAGCCAATATATGAAGACAAATGATGCTCCTTTCACACGGCTGATAAATTATCACATGCCTTACTTGGGTGCTGATGTGTAATAAATAGTTTAGCATGATGAATGGGATGATACATTTATAATTCCAATTATTTTTGGGCAAACTGATGGAATTTTAACCACTGGATTCAATGTTTCAATTTTTATGGATAAATTGCTGTTTGCTCTCTATTTAGGTTTCCTTTTTTTTTTTTCTTTTTTTTTAATATCAAGGAATTTGCAATGAATAGTGGTCAAATCTTTCAGGCTTTTGTCCAAAATTTACATCAAACAACCTTTAGGTCTCCTTTAGGGCCCCAGGCTCTCTTTTAGAGCCACATACACAGCTTGATTACATTTGGGCACAGCACAGAGCCAGTAAACGTATGCATAAGTCAAGATTGTCTCAAAATCAAACTGGGATTAAGGGGATTGGTAACAGCTTTTCTATTGAATATGTAACTGTTAGCTGGATGTATCCCTTAATGTCATCCTTTTCCCTTCCCCAGGCTCCTCAGACTCATATCACACTTCCTCCACATTTCTCCAGATAAGGGAGGGAGGAGTGTGTTCCTTTCACAACCTCTTACAATCTGACTTTCAGGTAACTGAAAATGCTTACAAGGCTTTAGTGCTCATGAGCACACCTGGAGCCATAGGGTTTGAACTTCCTTACTGAGCCACTCTCTGAACTTCGGAGGAGAGCTAGAATATTCTGCTTGTGGGAAGTGGTGCAAAGCCAAGTGCAGCTTTCTCTGAGCAAGTGTTTCTATCAACACCTTCTGCATGTTAATAGAATTTACTTTGTCCCTATGGCAGACAGGTCTGTCACAAACCCCTCTGAGCTCTGAGATCTGAGCTCAGCAGGAGAAGAGGCCCCACCAAGCAGAACACCCAGGATCAGAACTAGGCTCTCTTCTGCTAGGTCAAGGTAAGAGGGCCAGATGTCCCAGCCTCCTGGTCCAGCTCGCTCTCTGCAGGATGTGAAGGGAAGTTCCACCATCATCATGCCAGAAAAAGAGGCAAGACCTCATTTCCCAAAGGAAGCTCAGTTCTAAGCATAGCCAAGGAGCTGTGGCTCTCAAATGGCTCTTGGCACTTACAGAGTACCTGCTAGTAAGAGAAGCACACAGTCCTCAGAGGCATCAGCTTTCCTCTGAAAGACATAAGTCCCAGATGCCATTCAGCTCAGAATCACATCTTTAGGGATGCAAAGAGTTGAAGTGCTCAGTGCTACAGGATAAATTTTGCTTTTCCCCCTCGCTCTAATTGAGGTACAGCAAAAGGGGTGTCTCAATAAACAAGCCATCAGCTGTTTTCTGTCTGGCATTTTGGGGGTAACTCATCTCTCAGTCTAGCCTGTCTTAAAATATCTCTGGTTTACATTGTCTTCATCTGATGGACTTTGTCATGCTACTTTTGAAGGGAAAAGAATGTGTTGTGTTACATGATCCATTGTAATTCCATGCAGTGTAAAACAAAAAGATTTTGTTTACTATCAGCACACATCTTTTTTAGATGCCTGGAAGAACTATTAAACTGATAGAATGTGGCAAGCATCCACATGAAGGCTGATATAAAGTCATCTGTGTTGAATAAACTGTGTGTCTTGCAAAACTGATTCACAGCAGGCTAACATGTATGAGTGTTTCTCTTTCAGGCTGAAAAAGCAAACGAACTGATTTGTGACACTTCATCAACATCTCCAATGTGCTCATATTTCCAAAAAATCTAAAATGGCTGTTGCAAATATTTTAGAAATCAAAGTAAAGTGTTTAAAGTTCTGTTGTGTTGTATATATAAAGCATGTTTATCTGTATGTGGAGGTTATGTTTTTTTGTAGACATCATTTCAGTGTCATTGCCTATTTCAGCTAAGAAATATTGTTAATGGTCTTTCTTAATCCCACGAACTATAGGTTAATGTATGTACAATCAACAGCTCATCAGCCTAAAGAACACACAAAAAGAAAGGAGCTATTGCATACTGCGCTTTTATAGATGCTGCAACTGGCTTTGTTCCATAAGAACTTTCCTTAATCAGTAAGAGTAGAAAAATAAACAACTTTGACAAAAAGCGAGGCACGATGATCTGAAGAGAAATGACACTAAGAGGATTAATTTAGAGGAGCATGGACCAAAATGCTTATTGTTGTCTCCAAGTCCAGGTCTCACACCTATTCTCTTCAAGCATTTACTTCTTCCTCACTCTTCCACTCATTCCTCAGTCCCATAGTCCCCCTGATGTCACCAATCCAGCAGAAGGGAAACCATCAAGTTGCTCACTCCCCTACACCACCTATGCCCCCTGGGTCAGATACCGCCTATGCCCCAAGGGCAGCAACAGAGGAGACAGCAGTGGCCATCAGCTATCACAGTTTGATGCACAAGTGGCCTGTGCAATCAGTGCATCCACTCTGCTTGTTTACCTAGAATTCTAGGTATAAATCTTGGATGTAGATACAATGCATGGTCAGACATACATAGGTATAGATTAGATATAGATATATGATGACTAAATTACACTCAGCTATATAATGAATATAAGATCTAAGATGACACATATCCATGGTATAGGTTCAGTGATTATGTTTTTAACTTTGATGCAAGTTACCATCTTACCTCATTTCCATTTACAGCTCTAATGGGAAATCAGTTTCCTGGGCCCAGAACGAGAAAAGCAGCAGAGGGGCGCACCTTTGGCAGCGGTTGTCAATCCACATCAACAAAAAAGAAAACCCCAATCAAACTGCAGTGATCAAGCCTTTTTCTAAAAGCACAGATAGTAGCCGACATAGTAGCAGCGCTACATTTCCTGAGACCAGTGCCAAAACGCTTTACGACGTTTCAGAAGCAGAAGAGCAATACCCAGCTCAGTACCGACCGCAGACTCCCTCGCCTATCAGCACCGTGAGCCACAGAACTGCCTCCGTTAGCCGAACAGAAGATGATGCCCCTACCTTCCAGTCCGAGCCTCCGCAGCGAAGTAGCTCCTCGCAAGGCTCCCTCATGGAGCAGATCAGTAGCGTGGTTACTCGTTTTACAGCCAACATCAGCGAGCTGAACTCTATGATGCTTTCAACAGCCACTCCAGGGACAATGGTGGCCACTCCTCTCTGCTCTTCATATCTGATCCCACGAGAAATCCAGCTCCCCACAACAATGACCACGTTTGCAGAAATCCAGCCACTTCCTTCCATTGAAGTCAATGGCGCTTCCCAGTCAGCTAGGAAACAATCAAATGGCAGCGTCAAAGAAGGCACTGCAGAGACCCCATCAGCAAAGCAAGACCTTGAGGAGCTGGTAGCTTTAACTCCTCCTTCTCCTTTTAGAGACTCCATCGACTCTGGAAGTGCATCTCCCAGCTCTCCGGTTTCCGAATCAGCTCTCTGTATCCCATCTTCCCCAAAGTACGACACACTCCTCATCAGAGATTACACTCAAAGTTCTTCTTCTCTGTGAATGTAGTTCAAGACAACTTTGGATCTCGACGACTACAAGCAAGTAGTGGGGGGACAGCCAAGACTTCAAGATCTCCAGTGTTTACGCAGATAGAATGAGGGGCATTGGGTCATCTTGTGAGAAACAGAGGAAGAAGTGGAGTTGCTTGATCAGTGGAAACATCAGATTAATGATGATGTTCTAAAATGACTCTTGGCAGATTATCGTGGCCTTAAAAAAACATGGGCTTTTCAAAAACACTGAATCTATTTTTGAGGGCTTATAAGGAGTCTGTTAAATCAGTTACATACCAAGTGCTTTGCTTTAGTATTACAACGAACTGTGTGTACAATATGTGAATGGGGGGGAACAAGATTGTAAACAACTGTACAGTGGTTTGTTTGTTTACTCTGATTCCTTACCCAGAAGTGAACCTTGATCTTTTATCAAGAATAGAAGACCAAACGTTGAATGTACATTTTCTAAGAGACTCAAATCTAGGACCAACCTATCAAGTTTTCTTTTTTTTTCTATGAAGATCTCAAAAAGCAGCAATGTATGTTCAATAACTATCAAACTTTTTGCTGAAGCATATTGTGTCTGTGATACGTTCCACATGGATAACACTAAGCTGAGGCTTTGCAGTGAGTGACTGCGATACGGAGGGCTTTACAAGTGACTTCTCAACCTACACATTTGTTTATGAAATTCTCTTCTACCAGTATATAAAAAAAATCAATTTGTTAACATTGGATTCACCTTCACAGCAACAAAACCCAAGGAAGATTTCCTGACTATTTCACCATGATGCCAACTAATAATGAAGTAGCAAAAAAATATTTTCTGGAGTACTGTTTTGTAATTCCCTTATCAGGGCAAGTTGTTGAGGTGAATATTCTCTTTCTAGCAGCACTACCAAGCTATATCATAGCTGCATTCCCTACTGAAATTAACACATTTTTATGGGTGTTCTTATGCTAACATTGCCAGTTATAACACTTATTCGGGCTCCCTTAGTCTTTGCTCGCAAGGAACAGGTAAACACTGTAAGGATTTTCTCCATGTTTTTGAATGACAGTATTCTAAGTGATCAATCTGTATTATGATGAATGCTAACTGTCAATGGAAAGGTTGTCATAATCATAATTTATATGTAGAGAAAAAAACTGTAAAAATCTGCTTAGAGGTGGTTTAGCTACTCTTTAATAAGCAACAATTTTAACTTTATTTAGCTGCCGATGCCTTGCAGCTATGAACTGTGACAAAGAAAAAAAAAAGACTTTCAAAGCAATACAGAGTAAAGGATAAAGCAGAGAAGGCCTAATGAGATATGAGCGAACAGTCTTTGTTTCTTAGCAACTCACAGAAGAGCAAGGGGATTACTGGTATTTTTTCCTATATCAAGGTAATACAGTTTAGTGCACTTCATACTGTCATGGCACTTTTGAATAAAGGCGAGGAAGGGATTTACAGTTTGAATAGAAGTTAAATAATTTTTTAATAGGTGTAGTTACGTAGAACACGTAAGTCAGGCCCTAAACGCACACTGTGTTGGCTCTCTCCTTTGTGACAGCTGTCCTTGGGTGCCAAACTTTTATTGGTTTGTTTTATTTTATTTAAGGATAGTATGAAGTGACGAGTGATGTACTTCAGTTCAAAGTTGAGTTGATACAGCCTTATAAGAAGACAGCTTAATAGAGAAGAGTCTTGAAAACAGGCTTCTGTGCTTGATTTTCAAAAAGCTTAGATTTTATTTCTTCAAAAATAATTAATATTTTGTAATAAAAATCCATACCCCTTTTCTCTCCTCCATGCCCCAAATAACAAACATTTGATTTTAGAAAAGAAAGCATACTGCGTGATTCACGTACTTTAGCAAAGAGCATTTTTTGTTCCCTTTGAGGTTAATTTCACCATTATGCTGCACTGCTTTTAAACAGCATTAAAAAAAAGAGTGTAGATGAGCAAAACCAGGCTCACAACTCGCAGAGATGCCCTAAGAACCCTGTACACCCTTGTGCAATTTGGTGTTATCCAATATGAAGTGTGTGGGCATGTTTATTTTACCAGTTACAGTCACTTACTAGCTATGCCTGTAGCATGATCAGGTAGGTCACAACCCAGCTCTATTCCAGGAGATACACCAAGCTATGATTGTAGGTCCTTCTTTCTTACGTATAGTTCTTGCCTACTCTCAAAACTGGTTAGCACAGACTCAGTTCTATGAAGCAGTAAGGTTTCCAGACAGGAGCTTGCTGTTACCTTCCTGGTTCATAGTACTAGCATGTCTCATCCTTTACTAGATGCACACGTCTTTAGGAGAAAGCATCTTCTTTCACAGGTTACAACCCATATTTCAGGAAAGGGCATGTCCAATCAGCCTATGGCACAAGTATTCTTACTCAGCGAGTTTAGACCACTTACATATTGTTCTTGGAAGATTTATATAATAATGTATGTTTCCCATTGGTGCAATATTGTTTTGATATGTGTGGAGTGTGATGAGACAAATGTGAATGTCAAAGGGATTCTATTACTATACATTCTCTTATACTTTAAGCTATTGAACAACATCATTATTAGATCCTCCTCTAACATGAACTTTCCTCAGCATTACAGGTACTCATTTCTGTACTCTTATGTTGGTTGATGCATATTAATGTATACCTGCTAAAATCTGTGAGCTTCATTGCACTGTGAAATAATGAACAGTAGAAATATCTTAAAATGAGTAGAAAGGAATGAGAAATAGAAACTGTCAAAGCATGACTCAGCATAAACATACCTCATCTACTCCCAAATTGCAGTTCTGCACAATGCTGACCACAGCTATTGCTCAGATTCTTGAAGACTTTTGTCTATATTGCCAAGATGATATATTCATGCACTTGTGCGTGCAAACACACACATACACAAAACACTTAATTTAACATCTGTGTTTGGAGGCTAAAACTACAGTGTTAAACTATCCAACACTTGCTTATTTTCACTTTGGAAGGAGTCATGCATCCTCTGTCTGTTCATCCAGAACAAAACTTTTAATGGCAAAAAGAACCCAGGACGAGACCTGCCGCAATGGTACCTCTCAGTTATCAGCCTATCTTCAGCAGAAGTTAGGTCGGCATTAGCAAGATATAAAGAAGGCAGGACACATTTTAATTGCACAGGCTTGAATGTGACAACGTTACCTTACAAGGTTTTTGGGTGGCAGAGAGAACTCTTCTGTAATGACCATAGTTGTAATAAGCCTCATGGGGGATTTGCCAGACTGGAAAGTCCTGTAAAAGAAACCAGGGGGCTTGATACAAGAAAGAAGAATGTTATGGGATATTATAATTTCATTAAGCTGCTTATATGCTACTCTCCTTTACAGACATTAAGATATAACTGCAGTTTTTCAGCCATAAGAGCAAAGGTTACCATTGCAAACACTTTCCAGTACCAAATGTCTTGAAATTGTATATAATGGTTTAGTTCTGCCAGAAAGGATATCAAGAGGTTGCATCCATTGTCATTCTTGACCACAAGGATCTCAGGAGATCTTGTTTCTTTTGTGCTTGAGGCTAACCCTGAAGATTAAAGGTGTAAGCATCTTTGGAAGCTATGCTTTCGAAATAAAGTGAATCACTCTGGCAGGCTCATTGTGAAGAAGTGCTAGCAATACTGTAAAAGAACAATATTTTTCAATTAGCTCTGAAGAATGATTGCATTAATTTGGATATGTGCTTCCTTGTACTTCTCTCTGAACATTTGGTGCCTAAATCAATACAAATACTTCAGACTAGAGATTCTTACATCATGGTCTACAAAGCACTTGTTGATGTTTCATGGGAGTCTGGTTGGTCACAAAATGCTGTTTTCTTCTTTTGATTCTCAGCTACGAAACTAAATTAAAAGTTAACTGGTCATTAAAAAATATGTGTTAAAACTTTTAAAAGAAAAAATAAATAGCTTGTTTGGATTTTATTCAGTTTCTGCATTTGGAAAAGGAAAAATTTGTGATTAAAAAAAAAAAAGTGGGAGAATCTCCAGAAAGACTTAATAGAAAGGACAGTCCACGACTGAGATTCTGGATGGCAGTGGAGTTCACTTGGAAATGTATTATTTAGAGAGCCAAAAAAAACAGAAAAAAGCCAGAAAAACAGCATAATTGTGAGTGTAAATTCTGTAGAAGAAAGTGTGCAGCTTTGCTGCTCTATTTAATAAATCATTCCTGAGTTGAGATAAGAAAAACATGAAAGGGATGGACAGAAAATGTTGGGTTCAAAGTCAGAGCTGACCCAGAACAGAACTTTGGTGTCTAAAGTCAGGATTTCTGAAGAATTTAACACCTCCTTTCAAAAGGAACTCAATTCACTCAGGCAACAAACACTGTGTCTCTGCAGATGATCAGAGTTGCCCTCATCTTGACACATCAAAATATCTTAGCGTATAACTCAACTGGAAATCCAGAAAACAGTGGTTCCTAAATTTGAATCCCTGTATATGCCGTAAGTATACAGAACTTACAGCATGTATGTCAAGAGGATCACACTCTCTATAGAAGAGAAATAATCTTTTATTTTGAGGCTGTCAGTGCTGTTACACTGCTGTTTTTACAGTAGCCTTGAGGTTAGAGCACTTGAGCAGAAAATGAAAGTCCAAACTTCAGACCGTTCCACTGCCAGGTGGGATTGAAATCTTCCTACTAGCAGGAAAGTGCTGTAATGACTGTGTACTGGGGCACCTTCATCTCACTATGGTAACTTCAGGTTCAAGAATAACATTCAGGAATCCCAAGGTGCAAAAGGAAGTGTTACTCTTCACCTGTATGGGATATTTGATATAGTTGAGATGACAATTTAAAATTAAATAGTTTTAATATCCTGCAAGCAGGAATTGGGTGACTATTTCAGCTACAAAGAAGTGGAGCCAACATTTCTTCTGAGCTATATATTGGCTCAAAAAATCCTTAAATACTTCACTGGAAAGTGCTTTAATGATAGGAAGGGAGGATATGCCCTTCCTTACCTCTGCGTCTG